CATAAGAACCCATCGCCATGCTTCACGAAGACTAGGGTTGAGTTAGTACGCTTTTTTTGTTAGGTAGTTAGCGGGGTATCCTTGACTTTGTAGTTGTGTACATTAGTTATCACTTAACCCTTGTATTATGTTGAAAAAAAATGACATTGATTATGTTGCGGGTCATTTTGACCCATACTGTGTAAATGCACTCAAAACAGTCAAGAAAACTGGTTAAACCAATAACAACTTTATTTTAGGTTATATACATATTTAGAAAAGTGACATACAATACATTTTTAATTCCAACACTATATTTAAGAAATATTTAGTCTAATCTTCTTGTCCTCCTCTCGGGTCAAAATGACAATTCTTCCCTCCTTCTTTCCTCCTGCCATGCTTTCTCCTTCCTTTTTCTCATCCTGTTTTCCTTCTCTCTGTTCATCCTCTATCCCCTTCTTTCCTCCTTCCTTGACCAAAGATTCATCCTCTGGATCCTCCTTATCGTAGGAAAATTAACAATCTTATTCAGCAATAACATTGTCCTCTGTCTCTGAAAAATCCTTTGTTTCTGAAATCTCTTCCTCTACATCATTATCCCAGTTAAAAATCTGTGAAAAAGCCTCCTCAGATGTCATCCTTCTGGAGCTCATTTTTGGTGAGTTTGTCTAAAGCCTAGCGTACATCGACAGAGTAAATGGAGACAACTAGTTGCAAGGCGGCTTTTGGTGATGAGAGTAGATGATGGAGATGATCAGTTGCCGAAATCGGTCGATGTGAGCGCTCTTACAACTGGAGTTAAACAGTCGATCTCCAGTTTCAGTCAGTTGCCCGTGTTCTACTTTTCGGCAACTAGTTGTCCTCAGATCCGGAGATATCACCCGATGTGCGCTCTCCAACAACATGTGTGTATTGCGTGTATTGCGCGCTCTCTACAGTTTACTGTATGTAAAAAAAAACACACTTTAGTAGACGGCCAGTTGCTGTCGATGTACGCGCTACTAGGAGTTGCCCGTTTTTGCCACATTGTAGATGTGTGCGGGGCATCAACTCAAAGGCGACGGATGTAATCAGTTGCCATGCCGATGTACGCTAGGCAAAAGAGATGACATGAGAACAGTGACAAGGACAAGTGTGAGAAAGTTCCCTCTCTTCAAACACCTGGCTCTGGGTCTCAGAGGCAATCAAAATACAATGCCAAAGAGACATGTTTTTTTGGATCTGAACAACTATTTACCCACATTAAAGCATCTGGGTCAAAATGACCCGCAACATCATCTTCGTATACAAACTCTGCATAGACATTCCACTACACATCAAAGTTGCCAGATTTTACACACCAGTTCATGACCCTAGATGAGGAAAAGTCACCAAATTTCAGCAAGAAAAATAAAGGATAACCAGTACTTTGATCAACACACAAACTGAAATGGGTCAAATTGACCCTTAACATAATACAAGGGTTAAGCTTCTGGGGGTCTTTTGTTATGGATGAAAGGGTTGAAGATTTTCTGGAGTCAACATGTCAGAGTTGTTTGGAGCTCTGCACTAAAAGGCGTTAAATTGCAATTGTAGAGTATTACAGGGTTGATATTGGAAATTCAACTGTGTTGGAGTGTTCTTAAAACAATTTGAAGAAAAAAATATTTGGAATGGGCATTTTGGTTTCACGTGTGGGTGCGACTTGTTTGATTTTTGAAGAGCAGAAAGAGTTGCTCCTGTTGAGATTGGACGCTTAAAGGGAATTTGAGAAAATGGGGCAGAGGGTTGAATTAGCTAAACTTGACATTGAGCGACAGAAACTGGATTTGAAGAGACAGGAAATGCAGAGTTGTCCTAGATCTGAACAAAGGATGAACTTAGTGACTTGAAGCTTGTTCCACGTTTCAATGAAGGAGATCCTGAAACAAAAGCTTTGCAGTTCTCAGCAGTGACTTTCACTGGCTCTGAGATTCCAGTTGTGGGAATGGCTTTAAAAGTATTGAAGGCTCCATGTCATAAAGTTGTTCTGCATGCTGATTTTGTCCAGGGTGGAGTCTATGGGAGTGCGCCCAGCATTGCCAGTAGATGGCTTAACTGTGATCTTGGGCAATGATATTGCAGGTAGCCGGGTCTGGGCTGATGTACCTCCTCCAGTCCAGGTGTCTGATTCGCCTGTGGTATGTAGTAACCCTGATGAAATTGAGAGGCAGGTTCCAGAGGTGTTTACTTTTTGTGCGTTTACACGTTCGAAATGAGTGGGACCTGAAAGTGAGGAAGATCTTGCTGACAATGAATTCCCTGTGCCGGTTCGGTGAAACAGGACGTCCTGGTGGTGAAGCAGAAGTCTGTTGCTTTGGAGGGATTAGTGGGTGATCCTGTGCACCCGGTGGTGGTTTCTTTAAATTGTTGTGATGTGTGTTACAGATCGGTCACGACCAGAGCAGCCATCGTGGGGTCAGGAACACTTATGGCCATAGCTGGTTTATTTCTTCTGTCATTCCACACTCAAGTCTAGAGCTTAATGCCAAAGAGATGCTAGACTCTGAGGTGTGTGACTGGTCATATTGAGAGTGCAACGGTCTATGTACAATTTGGACATTCTCTAGTGAGCATTCACATACAGGTGGAATGGAGAGTGCTGACATTGATGCTAAATCGCAATGCTTGTGGCATCCTGGAGAATGGAAGCTGCTGGAGAAGGAAGTACCGTATGTGGTGGTGTTGCTGTTGATTCTCACTCTAGCTGGGCTTCACAGTATTTGCTGGTGCCAAGCTCTGATGAAGCAACTGGGGACAACAGGGACTGTTGGGCTCTGGAAGCTGGTGCCAGGTCTGTTCTGGTGTGAGCGTGGATGCTTCAGCCCACCGTGCAAGCGACACTGGGACGGCACGGTGGAGACCCCAAGTCCTGGGGCTAACTGTATTTTGGAGGTACATTGCTTGACACCACTTCTACTCTATAAAATTCTTCCAAACGTTTGAGATGCCCAGTTGCCCTATGGATGGAACGTCCTTTGAGCTGCTCAGAGTATGTGTTCATTTGGGTCTTGTGAAGGGCCCATTTTGGAGCCAACATGCTCATTCCGTATTTGCACATTTGAGTTTGTCTTTTGTTTTTTATGCACCATATTCACTGCACACCACACACTGGCTTTCATTGCACTCATACACCTGCACCACACACTGATTACTACATGCTCACACCTCATACCTTGTTTTTGTTCATGTTATACTCATCTTTTGTTATTATTAAATATACTTTGTGCACTTTTTACCCCTGTTTCGCCTCCCTATTTGTTGTGGCTCTGAGCCAGTCATAACAGCATCAAAATGAGCCTCCTTCGGGATGACCCAGGACACGCTGGAGGGACTATTCCCAATTCTCACCCTTGCCCTTCGGTGTGAGTGCCCTCACCAGAAAAGTGCACTCACAACATTCTCACTAAGAATTGGGACACCCCTGGATCTAGGGAACAATATACAAATGACGCAGCAGAAGATCTGAGATCTGACACAGATATGACTTCATGAAACACAGTATTAAAATGAGACGTTTTTGATTTTATTTCATAAGAAGTTTTGCTATAATTAAGTACAGAACAGCTGCACATCACGCACTCAGAGACAGACGCACGCACAGACACATATGTACACACACAGAGACAGACACATGTACATGCACGTACGCGCAGAGACATACCACACAGAGACAGACTGGTACAGCCGCAGTCCCGCGGTCACAAAGCAAACTGTGTCAAAGCCATGCTCTGAACTACATTGTGGATCTAACTCCGCCACTCGCTGCAGCTGCTTCGGGAGTGAACGTCACCACACAGGGCACCAACACATGCATTAAAAACTCTCAATGACTCGCACACGCCTCGGAGCTTCCTCACATTCAGCACAAACTTGCGGCCAGGTATATCATGTTTTCTTTCATTGTGGCGCGGCTTTGCCCGACAGCTACTTTACCAACAGCTATTGTAATGCATCATGGTATCACCCTCGCTCGCAAGTGATCTCCGGACCTCACTTGCGCTCAAGAGTGGTTTTTAGGGGTGTGAAGGCCCTTCGCCTTGGGACAAGTATTGGGACACCCTACAACCCCTGCGGGCACGTGCAAAATCTAGGGCAAAGGTGCTTTTGAAGGGCAAGGGTGACGGGGCCTATGTCTCTTTTTGTTCTGGGAACGCCTTGGGGTCTCCCAAATGAGCTGGAGGAAAATTGTGAGAGGGAAGTCTGGTCATCTCTGCTTAGACTGTTGCCCCCGTGACCCAGCAACAGATGAAGCCGAAAAAATGGATGGACTTTCCAGAACCTCCTTATAGGGCATTTTTAAATAAATTAATCTTCTCAATTTGGATCCTTGAGAAGTGATGCACAGTTGTATTTCCACTGTACACGGGTCAAACATCCTCCAGAACACAGATAAAACCTCGCACTCCTCTGGGACCGTGCTGTCAAAAGATTTGGTCCTGAGGGAATGGAGGAAAGAAAACCAAAATAAGGCGCCTAGACTTTGCAGAAATACTTATTGACAGGCAGCGTTCCCTGTGGGACTGAGGACTAAAGAGAGTTGGAATCACAAAGCATTAAAAATCTGCACCAGCACAAAGTTTAGCCCCAAAAACAACAAATACACTTCATATTTCAGTTTGTTTATATTTCAGAGCAGAGAGGATTCATGGTTTTACACTGGTCCAGACCAGAGCAGAGAGGATTCATGGTTTTACACTGGTCCAGGCCAGAGCAGAGAGGATTCATGGTTTTACACTGGTCCAGAGCAGAGCAGAGAGGATTCAGTGGCTGCTCTACCTCTGCTGCTGTGACCTAAAGTGCTGCTACATTTTATTATCACTATTGTTAGCTTTTTAGAATGATCTGTTCTATGTGTTTTGTTTGTTTGGATGGACGTGTATCTATTTATCTATCTAAAAAATAAATGGAATTGAAGGGATTGTAAAAACGCCTTTTAATACACCAGTTTGTACTTGTTTCCATGTATCTTAAAAGGCTGTAACTTTGTACTCTAATAATAACTAATAATCAGACTGTCTGTTATTGCCCCCTCTACTAGGTCTGTTTAGTTGGTCTCCTCTGCTCCTGTGCCACCCCCTGCTCTCTGCTCTCTCAGACGGGGTCAGGTCGGGAGGAGCAGGGATCTCTACAGAGCTGTTGAACAGAATACTGCGATGTGTTGAGCCTTGTAGCTGCCTGCCAGGGGTTCCCTCTGGAAGCTCTTCAAACAGGACTTTGATCAGCGGCCGTGATGGTGTGGAGCTGCGGCGGCGTGCGCTGTGTGCACGGTGCTCCACAGCCATGTTTGATGTGGAGATGTCCGCACCGGGTGGTCACCAACAGCACTCGCCTCCCACAAGATTACAAAGTGTCTGTCCCCAAAAGGGCTGCAGGTGTTTGCAAGAAAAATCTAACTTTTCATTATTTTCAAGTAACAAAACACAAATATTTTTGACCCAGTTGCATATGTCACTAGTGAGAACAGGACAACCAGACTGTAAATATCAATAGAAGTAGTGACGCCTATCTCTGCCGTTAAAACTAATGTTCCTGTACCTTTGCCTTCTGTGGGCTTTTTCAAAATGACAGCGGCGCAGGAAAATGTGAAAAAACACATAGACGTTATGCATTTGCGTTAGCTGCACTAGATCAATAAAGAATCATTCTATCTAGTGAACAAATTTGTAGTACTTAAATAGTACTTTTACTTTTTTGGGCAAGTTGAGAGTAACTGTTACTAATTACCTTTTTAAAGTATCATTCCCAACACAGCTCACCACCACCTCCCATAAGCTCAGATTGCCCATTATTTGGGTGATTTTGACATAAATGCACGTCCCTGTTCAGATTTCGGCAGGTAAGGTTAGGATGTTAATACTTCATGATGGACGCTTAAGTCATGTGACTCGTGATGCAACTGTCGACAATCAATAACTCCTAGTGCATTTGAAGAACAGAATGAAACAAACACACTAATACGTTTTTCATAATAGATTTCACAGAAGCACACACATTTGGGAAAACCACCATCAAAACAAAATGCTAATTCATGCTGTTGAAATGGTTGCAGCAGAGTAGGCTAGGCTAACACAATTCATTCCAATAGAAACACATAAAGCTAACAGCTAATGTCACAGCGTCAGGTTCATTTGGCCACCATTTATTTCCACTGCTAAGAAATGACCAGATCTTTGTATACAGTGTATTCTTTCAGCAGAGATTTGACCCAGAGGAATAAATGTAATTAAAAAGAAGTAAGAAGGTCAAAGTATTCATAGGACTAATGAAGGCACTTAGTGAGGGGGGGGGGGGTCACTGTAAGCCTCCCCACAGGTAGCTCCAAGGTCTGCTCCGTCCACACTGTCACTGCTCCTCCGTCAGGTCTCCGGGACGACTGCAGCTCGACAGACCACGCCTCTTTATCCATCTGTATTAGAACACTGCACACACGCAGAGAGGAAGAAGAAGAAGAAACATCCCTCAACTTATCTGTTTGACTCATACGCACTCTTTTGGGCACATTCTTTATCTCACTATAGAGTGCTTTTTATCAGATCTAGACTTGTCTGCAGCGAGGCTCGATCAAGTCTCCTCTTTCAAGTCTTCTCTCATCTTTAAAATGGAATTGTTATATCTTAGAAATGTATGCTGATTTGTACTACGCCTTACTCTATTCTCTATCTCAGTTCGTTTGGCTGTTTGCACCGAGAGCCCAAGCAGTGTCTCTTTCTCTTCTCTGCGACTTCTTGTTACTTCCATGGCAATAAATATGATTCTGATTCTGATTTTGGAGGTGCTTGTCCTCCTGGCCGCTCTTTCTCCACACCAGCCTTCAGAGGGCTCTGTTCAGGTGCGTGATACTGAATTCACGGTGTGTCGGCTTCTATACATACTTCACTCTGCTCTCAATCACAACCAACCAATTATATTTGTAAAGAATTACTTCCCTTTAGCAGGCCAGCATTGAATATTTCCTTGTCTCATCTACTTTTGTACTGGTTTCCATGTTCCAGCTCTTGATTGGCTGCTCTACAGACCTGTCAGACTTTGAAACCTTCTTCTCTCATCACTCTGCTCCTTTTTAAGAGCATTTTCTTTGCCTGACTGGATCCAGGAAAACCAGAGGTGGATCCCACTTAACTGCTCCAGGTGTTCAGTACCTGCCAAAAGAGGTCCATGCAAAAATAACTGTGAATTAAAATGATCCCAGACTTAGACAAGGAGACATCAGGAGGTTTCATTTTTTCACGTAGCATTGATTAGCAGTTTTGAGTAAGGTCCCAGACAGCTCCAAAGTGCGGTCCATGAATGCTCCTGCCGAAGTCTAGGAAGAGTCTACATAACTCTGTGAAAGTCTGATTGTCCCAGGGAAGGATGGCACTTATATAGTCCTTGAACACAGACTTTGGAAACAAGAGGTTCAGCTTTGATGTACAGGCCACTTAGGCAGAGGATGGCAGTGGAAAAAACATATGGCTTTTCCCACAGCCCAATCCCCATTGAAGCTAACATATATATTTACTCTACGTGGTTGCCTCTGTAAGCAGATTTAAATTACAGGTATCAGCATATTGGAAACTCCATGAAACAGGAATATCTAGACATTCAAACGTCATTTCTGAAAACACCAAATTCTGATGGGGGTCTAATTGTTCCACCCAGCAAAGTCCCAGCCTCTGTGGCAATAGTTAAACAAAAGTGCAGGTATGTCAAACTCAGGCTCGTGGGCCAAATCCCAAGACAATTTTGAGCGTCCCCCTTAAATGATTGTCAATTATTATTATTAACTTGTAGCTTTGATGGTAATGAGCTACCAAGGCATGTCATGCATCAGCACTGCTCTCTGGAAAATACCCACATTGGATTTTGAAAAGTTAACCCAACAACACATCATTAGAAGTCAAATAGAGAACAGTGATTGGTCCAGTTTTGGTTAAATCTAAACAATTAACACATTAAGTGTCATGAAAAAAGTCAGGTCGAAATTCCTTCATAATAAAAAAGAAAAAAAAACATTATAAGAACAGGAAATCCCTTCTATTCTTTCGGCCCATGACCAAAATGAGTTTGACACCTCTGCAATGGTGGAACTCATTGCCTCAGGTTTAACAACACATGCATCCGTTCAAGGACAATAAAATGGCATAACTAAACTTGTTTTTATTTTTTTATTTTAAGTTAGTGTCACATGAGCCGCTGCCTATTAGTGTATTTATTATTTTTGTTGTGTTAAAAACAGGACATTGTGAGACATATCTTGGTGGAGACTGGAAGTGGATGAGTCAGAGTCACTTTTGTCATGAAGCTGTTAGTCATGACGCGGAGTAGGACGCACTTCAAAGCTGTCTTAAAAAATGTTGTCCAAATATTCTCCAGATCATTTCCCACTGAGTCACTGGTGCATGTGTTTGTCTGTGCAAAGGGCTGTAGCAGCGTCCGGAGGTGGGCTGTGCACTCGTTCAACCAAATGAATAGCTCTTGGATTAAATTAAATTTTGTCTGGAATTAAATGATGGGAAGTGGTCTCTGTGTGCTACCAGATCGCCGTGGGAGGCCAATATCGCTAAAAGGCTTTTACAGGATTAATTTAACAGGTTTTTTTCTTTCGCCTCTAAACATTTTTCTGTCTTTGTCCAGCAGGTCGTCATAAACCACAGAATTCCCATCGCATTGACATTTAGTGTTTGGAAAATGGCACAGAGCCAGCCAACAGGGCGCTGCAACCACAGAGGAGGACTGTCGCTATATGTGGTCTGGGTATCCGGGGGGACGTGGAACAAGAAGAAAAAGAAATAAATAAATGCAAAAGTGTGTTTGTTTTGTGGATAAAGCAGAGCGAGCAGGTGGCATGCTGTGGACTGTGTTTTTTGGTGAATAGGTGAACGTAGCAGGTCTGACCCCTGCTTCAGAAGCCAACTCCAGGGAATGCTCTTAGCAAAAGCACCTGCTGCTTGGAAACCATGGCATGAAGCATTCATCTTTACGGAAAACATTGAAAAACACTCTCACACATTGAAGAACAAGTTTCTGATTTTAGAAAGATAGGACATAATTTACCATATCTTCTCACAACCGCTGTTATGTTATTTTATATGTATTTACTTCATTTCGAGGGCGGCAAGATCAAACTCATCTGCATCAAAGACCATCCATCACTTTCAAGGCAAGGCAGGTTTATATGTATAGCACAATTCATACACAAGGCAACTCAAAGTGCTGAACAAAGAAAGATACCAAAAAAATCCCTCAGTTATATGCACAGCTAAACAGAACTCTTTTTAACCTGGTTTTAAAAATTGTCAGAGAGGAGGCCTGTCTCACATCTTCAGGAAGACTGTTCCAGATTTTAGCAGCATGAATCTGAAATGCAGCCTCCCCATGTTTAGCTCTGACTCTGGACACTAACAGGAGTCTAGTCCCTGTGCTCCTCAGAGTCCCAGCAGGAGTCTAGTCCTTGTGCTCCTCAGAGTCCCAGCAGGAGTCTTGTCCCTGTGCTCCTCAGAGTCCCAGCAGGAGTCTAGTCCCTGTGCTCCTCAGAGTGCGATTCTCTTGACGCATGCGGCATCACAGGTGCGTTGTTATTTTACTAAGCTCATTGGGAAGAATTTTAATAAACAAAACGTTCAAAACGCAACAACTCTGCATCGATGCGGCTCAAGCCTGTTCCTAAATCAAGGAGGTCAAAAGACAGTTTCAGGGTTTACTGCCTCCGTCTGGAAGAGGCCCCAGAAGAGACCCGCCCTCGGTCCTCTCTAGTGCTTTGTTCATCAGCATCGTCCGAGTAAAGGGACTGAGTCATGCTGTGTCTCCATAAGAGCTGAGTCAAAGTCTGCAGCATGGACCGCTTTGCTACACTGCAAAACATGTAAAGATATAACGTAAGTATTTTTATTTTGACAATCTAATAACAAGATTTTTCATTGGGACAAGTAAAAATGTCTTGTTTTTAAAAGACACAAGACAATTTAATAAATGTCTTTCTTGGAATGATGGCCACAGTGGCTCAGTTGGTAGGGCATTTGCTTTTGAGCCTGAAGGTCGTGGGTTCGATCTCCCCACAAAACCTACAAGACTGCTCCCACTCATGTCTGCGGTTGTTGTGTCCCTGGGCAAGACACTTAACCATCCTGTGGACCCACCACCTGCAGGAGGATCAGCGAGGGACTGGTGCTATGAGCATTGGGAGGCAGCTCTGATTGCCACCTCCCCCAACCTAGAAATGGATTAATAAAGGGGTTGAAAATGAATGAATGAACGAATGAGACATAAATTGCAGCTGCGCTTGAAATAAGATTAAACGGCG